GAAATGCATTGACTATCATATCTAGGAATATGTGGGCCCTACCATCATTAGTAACATTTGTTCTCAAATCTGTATCTGGGAAGCTAATGTCTTCCATGTTGATATAATTCTCGATATATTTTTAAGCACATATGGCTGGAAGAGGCCCCTTAGAGCACAACGTTCAGTCGTTGCATTCACAGGCAACCATTTATCTGAAGTCTCTCTCTATATAGTGTCCACCCTTTAATACTAGAATGATCTCTCTTTTTATCCAAATCAGACCCTGGGGGTCCATAGGTGATTCTTGGCACTACACTAATAGAACTTCTTATGTCATTCCCATTAAGATTTTGACAGCTGTGTCCATGCTATCTCTTCTTATATCTTTCCAGTCTATCATATCATTAACATGCACTGCTGCCCAATTTTCTTTACCTTTGCCTGAAGCGTGCATACCTTTCATTATCTGAGTTCCAGCCATGATTGCTTACCCTTTCCTAAAGCTAAGACATGATGTTTTCTCTGCGACTATGAAAGGGTTCAGGTATTTATGAGGCAATGGAAATAGTACCATAAAGAGAAATAATAACAGTCTATGCATCAAAAGAACAAGATGGGCTAGAATAAAAAATTAAATGGTTTATGACATAAACTGAATTAAAGGGAGGTAACAAAACTTGGAGACAAATTACAGGACGTCAGAAATTTAATAGATGCTGTAGCAGTGAAAGGGTCAATTACTTGTCTCTTCCCCTGACGCAAAGGAAAAGTGACTATTCCAAAGTGCTGAGTCTGAGCAGAGGCTGGGGAACTTTGATGACTCTCTCACCAAAAGAACCTGCATAAAGAATTGCATAACTATAGACCTTTTTAAAAAGATGATTTATCTGATTTGCCACAACTCTATTCAAAGTACAGTCTTCACATAGATGAGTGTGCCCATGCACCTGTATTTATTTATTAAAATTAAAAAGATCAATTTAACTTTTTATTGAGGCTGAGAATGAATCTGTAGATTTTTTAAAGGATTTGTGTATAGTTTTGCTGTCTATCAAGGAACCATCATCTCAGCATAAACACCCTTCTACCCTATAATAGACCTTGCCCTCAGGACCATGCCTGTTCTGAGCAATGCTTTTGAAGTACTTAACCCTGGTTATGGTGGATTCTCCATCATAGGCACTATTGAAATCAAGACTGGACGTTTTCCTAAAATTCATGCTGTAACACACTGATAGCTTTGGGATTTGAAGCAGGAAAGTCTTATGGCAGCAGTTCCCAGACTTTATGGGCTCACACTCCACTAGCAGTGCATGCCCAGGTTTCACAACTGAATTTCTGTGAGGTTCATGACACCACTTAAAGGGCTATGACCTAACTGGGGGTTGCAACCCCTAGTTTAGAAGCTGCTCTCCTATAGCCTGCATTTAGCAGGATGTCAGAATAGTTAGTCTCAGCCAAGGTGCCATAGCATCCTGGGATGCCTTGAGATCCTTTCAAGAGTGCCATGGACTGCCACACAATGGCAGCACTGTTAGGTGTGCAAGCATGATTCACAAGATATACCATGATTTCAAGTAAGACTCCCTAGTGTTAAAAACATTCTGCCCTGCGGTGGCCTTTGAGTTCTTTGCAACAAAAGAATTGCTCTATTATTTTTCTGTAGTAAAAAGATGAGTGAAAATTAAGAGCTGGCATTTTCTGAGGGGTGCTTCAAGTCAAAAAATGTTGAGAACTACTGGAATAGAGGATTTCTTTTAGCCCTAAAAGCTTTTTAGTCTACTTACATGTGGTTGCAGTACAATTTTGTGAGATATGCAGGGTCTATCCAAATCCCACTAATATCAAAGGGAGCAGCAGTAGATCCATGGGGTGCAGTTGCACCCCACTTTGATTTCTGCTCTATCTGAACTTCAAAACCAACTGCCTGGGAGGAGCTGCAGTATTTCTCTTCAGGCAGTGTTGAAAGAATCAGTTAACCTCATGTCTCATCATCATCTCCCTAATTTCTGCTAATCTCTATCCACCCTCTATCCTTTTATTGGTCTTGATGTTCCACTATTCAAACTATCTTTTCCTCTGCTGTTTTGATGTCTGTTAGCCATCCCTGGTAATCTCTCTGTGCTATTTCACAGCCCTGAAAACTGTTTTGGCTCTAGCTAAAAACTTTAACTAGGTTGTGGTAATATTACCTTAACATGTAGAAATGACTGGCAGTGAAGTATTGGAGGCACTGTCAAAATGCTCAAGAGGGCTAGATTTTTTTTTATGAATCTGAATAAGAGACATAAATTTACCTATATTGAACATGGGACTAATCACACAATATCTTTCTGACTTTTTGATACTTTTTTGCCTAGTTTGTGTTTTTTTAAACTTAATATATTAATCTGGCAAATTAGCATGCATTCCACTAATTATATTTGTTTGTAAACTGAGTAATATAGTGCTAGCTCCCTAGCATATTAGTAAACCTTCTAGTTTCTCTTTAAGTGGAGAAAAATGTATTGCATTATATGTGACGATATGCCACACCATCTGCATCCTTTTTTCAAAATCCTTTATCTGCCATGAACAGGAGTTTTCTATAGATGCCAGTCAGGATGAATCAATGCCGAACTACAAGATGCTGTTACCTGTAAAGTACTGACTGCCCTCAGCTCCCATTGGAATTGATGGGATGCAATACTTCACAGGACTATTTTATTAGAGCACCTAAACAACTGATTTTGTTGGTCTCTTTGGTGGATGTGTAAGAGATGCTCCACTGCATATTTCTGGCGCAACTAGTGCTACTTTTCATAAGAAATCTAGGTATGGAATTCATTTACATTTGTTGAATACCTGGTACATTTTGAGAGCTAAAGTAGGCAGGACTTTATCAAGGACAAGGCCCTGAGTTGTTATACTGCTTCCTCATGAGACGATTTCTGATTAGTTTCCTGAAATCCAGGTTTCATAAGGAGTTCCTCTGTCTCACAAGCTGGCCTAACACCACTGAATGTGGAGAAATGGTCCAGTTCAGAAGTGCCATGTAAATTTTCTGTTACTAAGGATGGATCTTTCTAAGGCTGTTTCCTATAAGAGCTTACAGACAAATAAGGAAACTTCAGAATTAGTGGATCCAGCTAGTGATCCACAATTCTTTTTCTAAGGACGTCTACTACCAGATGCTTCAGAGGAAGAGCATGGATATTGTGAAATAGTCTTCTCAGAGGAAATATTTCTACCTGACACTCCTCAGCTAACAATTACCTTGCAGCTTGAAGAATGAAAGTACTGTATATGCAGTTAACTAACCACAGATGTTCTTGTTACATGTAGTGTAGCAGGGGATTGTCCCAGAACACGCTGCCCCATGGCACAGCAGAGGCTCTCAGCCTTGGATGAGCCTTTGTTTTGTATTATTTAAAACTAACAGTGCCCGATTTATTTTCTCTATTTACTTTATGCATATGCTTCTATTATCCTCCTTTTGCTAAGCTATCCATTCTCATTCTATAAAAAATCTTGTGATATCTTTTATTGGATCTACCTTATAGCTGGGAAGAGCCATTGGACAACCTTTGGATCATTTGAGGAAGGGTATTTGATGCTGAAAGCTTGTCCAACTCCAAATGAAGCAGTTGGCTCAATGAAAGATTTTACAGAAAGACCCTGCCTCTTGCCTCTCAACATCTGACAACAATACTTCAAACCTGTAATAACAATCTTTGTATGTTATTATTAATTTTCACCACACATTTCCACCTCCCTCTTCCCCTCCCCTCCATCCCTTGGTTTTGTCTTTTTGAATAAACCAATTAGAACTAAATATGGTATCTGAGATGGAAGCATAACATTGAGATACATATGTAACAGCTTCAGTATTATTTCTCAATTTGGATACATGCTTTATTGAATTTTTCACAGACACCATTGGGGAAAGACCCATTCCATTCCATCAGGACGAGTCTGAGGCCCCCCTCTTACACATTACAGGTATCATGCAATTAATGTTTTATTTGTACAGTTACCCTGAGGTAACCCAGCTATACTCCAACCAGCTATAAATATGCACTAACTTTCTAGCTGGTTGCTATTAAGATTTAATTTTCAGATGTGCACCATGCCCAGCCAGGGCTGGGAGTCTCACAGCTGAGGCCCAGCAGCCTTCAACTCTGAGTCCCAGCAGCTCCCCAGACCCAGAGTCCCACAGCTGTGGATGCTGGGTCCTAGGAGCATGCTTCCCAGTGGCGGGCAGCCTTGGGATACTTCTAATCTCCCAGCCTTGAAAGTGCACAAAAACCCTGGGGCTGGAAGATTGCAGTAGCCATGATGGCCCAGCCCTGGGGGTTTCAGGTACCCCCAGGGCTGAAAGATCAAAGCAGCTGCATCTTCCAGCTGCAGAGGTGCACAGAACACCTCCATGGCGGGGAGCTCCTCAACTGAAGGAGCGCTCAGCTGTAGGACCTTGGTTCCTACTTGGTGCAGAGAAAGTCCGATTGGGCTCCTCTGCACTGAAAATAAGGTGTAATGGGATCTTATGTGCCATCCCACAATCATGCCTCTTACCATGCACGCGTGGCATAGCAGGAGGTGTAACTGTGGCTCATGCATTAGATCCCATTGTGTCTTTACCTGCATGTATAGAGGGGCCTTAAGAGCTAGTCATTATCCAAATTGTGCATCAAAGTAAGTCTCAAAAAATGTGCACCAAGGCAGTAAAATAAAAAGGGCGAGACCATGTTTAGATATTCTAATGAAAATATGAGTATAAAGCAGATCAAAGCAGCAAAAGTTAGCCCAAGAGGAGATGTTAGAACTCCCACACCTGGCCTTTTGAAATGTAGTTTTCTTTACTGCTGTATTTTAGGAATATAAATTTGAAAATAATGCAGAAACTTGCCTCTTTCTACCTTAAACAAGTTCTGAGTTTCCTGGCAGGAAAATTAATTATACCCTGATAAAATGTATTTTGAACATTAGTTAAGAAAGAGAAAGGTGCAATATGGTGGCACACATAAATAAACAGCTTGTACAAGGCAATAAAATAGTTTATTATTAATTAGGGATAACCAAACAATTGTTAACCTTTTACACTCTAATGTAACCATATGTATACAGACAAACCGAGATAGACATTTTATAGAAGATCATGTACATTCATTAGTTACACACATTTCCATTAAGTTAAAAAAATAGAAACCCTACTTAAAGAAAACAAAAGAGCATAAATCAACCTGATACCCCTCTCCACACTGACAAAGGAGCAAAAAGGTTAGTGTTACCAAGTTGAAAATAAGGTGCTTCAATTCAAACTCACTCATAAATCAATACAAAAGCAAGCAACTATCATGATTTAATGACTTTCTCAAAACACACATTAACACATTTCTTTTGCTACTATGTAAAGGCATAGCACACAAAAGCCATTAAGTTCCATTTAATTATGAAATGCAGCCTTTTGTGAGTTGGTCCTTTTACATTTTGCTGGATAATTAAATTTCAGTCCCCAAGAATGGAAAGAAAAAAAGCATTTGTGTACTCAAGCCATTTTGCATACAAAACAAAGATAAATTACATTCTTCAGCACAGAAACAGGATTCCTTAAAAATCATGCACCATACTTTTTTGGTTTAGCTTATTTAGTTTACTATTTTCATCCATGCAGAAACAAATTACTAATAATGTACCAGAGAGGGATCTCACCACAAGTTTTAAATGCTGCACTGACTAGATGACTGTCAAAAGATGAAAAAACCAAAGTTCACACAAAATGTTGTTACTGAAACCTTATTTAGCTACTCATTCTTAAACCCATCAAGGTGCTACTGATTTCACAATAGAAACAAATAGAAACTTCTATTATACATTGCTACACAAGCGATTCAGAAATGTGAAAATGTGTACAGAACTAAGAGGAATATGAATGATAAAACCAAGCTGGTAAACAATAGCTGTAAAACTGAAAACTTGACAGTATCAAAAATGTCTGGATTAAAGAATCAAACACGATCTAGCACAATAAAAATGTTACATCTCATGAAAGTTGCAAATACTCATTGGAGACTACAATTCAAGTAGGCAGGAAACTGAAATGTCCTTTCTAAACATAAGCAAAATAATTCAGATGTTAAATACCACTAATCACCATTCCTTTTTGCCAATAATACAAAAATAGACTGAAACTACAGTGTCACATGGCTGAAGCAATTTTTTTTTCAAACAAGGGAGGGAAAGCTACAGGAATAGCCCTCTATAAGTGTAAAATATAGGCAGAAACCTCCGGCATCTAACATATTACAATCTACTATAGCTATTTAAAAAAATAAACAAACCTTCCATGCATTTTCTTTGCCAGGTGATGTTTAAAGACATCATTGGCAAAATTCAGCAAGTAAAGATGAGGTAAAGATGAAGTAAAGACAGGGTCGTCCCCTTCGTACAATCTGAGGAATAGAAAGATTTGCCAATGGTCCCAATCCTTCACACATTATAATTTGGTTTGCAAACGGAACTCGGAACTCCTGAAGCAGAGTCAAAGTCCCCTCTAACCCATTAAATCATGGCAGTCACCTTGTATTAATTTGATATGGGTTAGCGGAATAATACATTGGATAATCCTGCTGGTGTAGATGTGTCATACTGACAATAAATTAATAGTTCCTACATTGGTATTAACTTCAGGTGAAATTAGAAAGGCACTTGTCTCTCACAGAAAGTACTTTGGCCTCAAATTAGTTAAAAAAAATTGAATTAATAACTGAAATGGGTTGCACTTGTTAAAATGCTGCAAACTTCTGTGAATCTGTGAAATAATCTTTTTAAGTTTGATTTACAAGTGACAGGTCTGTAAAGGAGTTATTCAGATGAGGGATATATTTAAACATATTTTGATCCATTAAGGCCATTTAATGCAGCTGTCTGTGCGCCACCAAACATTTGCTACAGTGGAAACATGATTTGTGCTGGCTAATTAGTTCCCAGGGCCAGAAGAAAAGGGTACTGCAGAAAGCAGCATAATCAGTTTTATTTAAAGAGCTGAAGAACCAAACCAGTAACCAGTGAATTAAGAGAAGAGACATTACACTACAAGTCTTTTGAGTGTTAGCATCTGAAGTTACATTTGACCACTATGAGATCTGTAACTTGGGTATAAAAGCACAGACAACGTTGTAACTACCTAGTTTTACAAGGTTAAATCAGATGTATCCACAAGCAATAGTAAAAATGGTTTCCATGCTCATAGATTGATGAGAAGATTTATCACATCCACACTCAAGAACAGGATCAGAAAGGATCTAAATGGCACTTGCACAAGATCCAGTCCAGGCTTTATGGATGGCAGTATAAAACCCTATAGATCTCACTTTTCTCCACTCAGTGCCTGCTATAATTTTTTTCTGTTCTTTAAAATATCATAATTACTTTAAAACAAAATGAGAACCAGAATAGGAGGAACTTTTCCCTAGGTCCGTCCATTTTCTTATAATACTAACCAGCTGGGCGTTATGTATGTAAATGTTAATTTGCAAGTTGTCTTGTAATACTGTTATGAAATGACACCAAACACTGTAGAATGAAATAGTTGGAATAAAATCAAGCACAAAAGAAAAACCAACATACTTTTTTTTTGCATTTAATCCTTCTGATTGGAACAGCACATTAAAAGTATGTCCATGCTGCTATACAGTTGCTAGATTTAACCTTGAATTTGGGCAATAGTTTTAGTTCCCTGTCTTCCTTTGGTACTTTTCCCAGTAATTTACTTTAAGGAATCCCCTGCCTCTTTGAGAAGTCTGCAGCCCCTAACTTTTGTATTACGTTTCTTAAAAAAAAAAAAGCTTGACCCAACATAAGACACTCTGATCATCACTCAGCAACGCAAGAAATCATCATCTACATATGGCAGTGATGAAAACTGAATGGTTAAGGGTAGGCGGACAGTTGCCATGGCAAGTGAGTGAAAGCGTGGGATAGCTGTCAAGCCAACTATTTATGCAGTCTCTGCAACTTGAGCAAATATTAAAACAACACAAACTTTAATTATCTGCTGCTCATGGGACTATCAGTTTATATAAAGTGCAAAAAAAGAGAAAGCAATATCTCACGGGGACCGTGGCTGTTTCAGTACTCCCACTCATCTGTTTTCATGTCTAGATAGTAAAGAATATTCTGGGCAAGCTTAACTGCCTGCTTTCTGGCAGCCTTACAGCGTTCATCTCCTTGAGGGTCAACAGCATCAAGGGCTAACAGCTGCTTCGTGAGAAGCTCTTCCAGTCTCATGTAGTTCTTATCAGCTCGGTTTCCATCAAATGACAGCACCTCCTGCTGAATCTGAGAAAGACTTCCAAGCACGCTCCAGACTGCTTTGTGGGAGTGATGTTCAGCATTAACTTGATCACTGTGCATTCGCCTTTTTTCTAATGCTTCTTTTAAATCAATGTATGTTATAAGAGTTTGCACTTCGATCACTGCTCTTCTCCTGGCTTCTCTGATACATGGATTCTTTCCTGGACTCACTTCATCCAAGCACATGATTAATCCTTGCAATTCTGCCTTAGATCCCAAATACAAGTCAGAAGCACTTTCCACTCTTAAAAATACAGAATGAACTTCTTTCATTTTTTTGCGGATCTCTTCTATTTTCAGAATGGACTGATTTTGGGCCAAGTCATAAGCTGAAGTTGTGTCAGCTTCCTCTTCCAAATCCAGGTATTTCTGTAACTTATTGATCTCTTCCACCACTTCCTTTCTGTAATTTCTTATTTCTGTGCGGCCACAAACTTCCAAAGCATCCAGATCAGCCATCAGGCCGGTAAGCACGCATGCTAAGTGCCTGCAGGTTTCGTTATTATTTACTCCCATTAGAAGCGCAATAAGCGTCCCTCTAGCTTTGTTCACATCACACAGGACAGAGTTAATTTTGGAAACGGAAGGATGCACGTTGTCCGACAGCGGCAGGGAAGGCTGCTGCTTGACGCAGCTTTCTATGATCTCCTGAACCATGCACACTTTTGTCACTGTGCGGTACCTCGCCTTCCGCAAGGAGACTTTCCCTCCGGTTTTCACCTGAGTGAGCCTCAGGATGATGTCCTGAAGACCCTCTTCAAACTCATCGCTGATGCAGTTGGCTCCTTTATAGAAAGGGGTGATTTCCCGTTCCACGAGGGACTGAGCCTCCTTGTAGATGGCCTCGATCTCCAGCCTGTGCGGGTGGTTGGCATTTTGCTCCAGCTCCTTCAGCAGCCTCTCCGTTTCCTGGGCCGCCCGCTTGCGGGCTTGCTGGACGTCCCCTCGGCCCTCCGTGTCCACAGAATCGATCTCAAACAGCTGCCTGGTCAGGGCCCGCTCCAGCTTCTTGTACTCCCGGTCTGCGGACAAGCCACTGAAGGCCGTCACCTGCTGCTCCAGGTCCTTGACTTCCTTCTGGATCTCCTGGAGCCGTCTGATGGCAGGGTGTTGGTTACCCATATCCATGCTCTTCCCACATCCGGCTCCACGTGAACTGAGAGAGACAGAGCGACAGAGGGGGCTTGGCACCAGTTTGACAGGCTGCCCTCGCACTCGCCCCATACCATCATAGGCCTGGGCTGGGGATCCGACCTCCGCCACCCCCAGCTCCTGGCCCGGGCCCTGCAGCGGGGCACCACACAGAGGGGGCAGAACCTTCCTCCTGCCCTGGCAGCCATATGGGGGCAGCCCCTTGCACCCTGCGCCCCCCCCGCGGGCTCCTCAAGGGTCCCGAACGAACCCCCCCGCCCCCCTTACCCGCGGGCCCCGCGCGGGC